GCGTTGGAAGGTACAGGGTCTGGCGCTGGCTTGCGTAGCACGTCTGCCAGGACGCTGGGCCGGGGCAGGGCTGCGCAGCCGTTGCAAAGACGCCTCAAGACACCAATTTTTCCAAGTGCTTCGGGCGAATGGAGTACGCGCAGCACAGGTGGCAATGAGGTCAAAACATTAGACCGCAAACCCTCAACCCTGGCCGCCTCACGTTGTCGATCATTAGACGCATGTGGCCGCAGCCTAAGAGGGGGCAGAGGGATGGATAGTGGTGGGAGCAAGGTTGCAGGGTCATTGCAGATTGTCAGGCGTGGGTGAGCAGCCCAAAGCACTTTTAACACTTTGGGGCGCAACACTAAGGCGCTTCTGCAGCGCTGCAGGCCCCAGGTGGTGATCACCCACGCCATGGACGAGCGCCGCCGCGCTCGTGCAGCCCAGCCCAAGTCAAAAGTGACCAAACGGATAAATCGGTGGTCACAGTCACCGCTCACCCTGGTGGTCGCCCCTCGTCAACTCCTCATACCACGCATCTTTTTCGGCCGCGTTGGTGGGCTCCCTGATAATCGGACGAGGCGGCGGCGGGCAGCGGCGGTCGCGTGTGTGAATTTGGGGTGGGCCGCGTGCCGCAAGCACAGCGGCGCGCAAGGAACGACAACGAAGAAGGCCTTCTTGTCTTGCCCCTAGGGGCATCACTGCCTGGTGCGGGCTTCCGCAGGTCTGGCCGCGCCGTTATCCAGTGCAGCAGGCGCGACACAACGCAGGCGTGGCCTCACAATCACGGCTGCCTGCTGCGCGCCTCCTGTGGCCATGGTGTTTGGGGCCGCGTGTCCCCCCCGACAGCCAGCTGGGCAGGGCATGCCCTGCGGAAGCCACATCCGCTACTGTCACCCCCGTCCATGTTCCGCGCCGCAGCCTGGGCAATCTCACATGAAACCATGCATGCGCCGCCACGTGCCTGACTCACGCGCGCGTGCGTGGGCCCTGTCTGGTTCACTCACACGTCTGGGAACGCGACAGGTGATCCAAAGCCGGCTGCCTTGACACCAGTGAACACCTTGAGCAGCTTTTCGTCGCTGGTGTGGTAATAGAACCGCTTCCTGGCGCTGAACTGACCCTTTATGTAGTCAGACAGCACCTTGTCAGCCAGATCCTGAAGCAGCAAGATTGCAAGGGAGGCAAGGAGCAAAGAGAAGAGGGCGCTTGAGGAGTGGACAGGGTTGTCGTGAAGACCCGATGGAGGGAGAGGAGGGTTGAGCAGAAGGCTAGGTTAAAGGGGCTATGGGGCCAAACGTTAACGTTGGCCGTGGGGGAGAGTGCTGGGTGGCGCTCGCGACCATCTTGTGTAGCAGGCGGGTACAGAGGGCGGTCGGCTGATTCCCTGGGCCATGCTGGCGCCCTCAGTTCCGCCTTGAGCGCCGGCGCGCTGGCGCCGCGCGCACAGAGTCCTCAATGGTGGCGCGCAGGGGATGCGTCATCCCGCCAACGGACGCCTCCGGGCAGCCTCCCCTGCCTCCCACCGTGCATGGTGCGGCCCACGCGCCCAGTGGCGCGGCAGCAATCCCTCAAGCCGTCGTGCCTCGACTCAACCATGGGGGAGCCAGGCCTAGAATCCATTTCAAGGAGGCAGCCAACATGCGCACCTGGGTGAGGGTCTGGGCTGTGAGATTGAGGTAGACAGCAAAGCCACCAATGAACTCGGCAATGTCGCCGCCGGGGGTGCCGATGACGGGGTACTCGTGGCGCGAGTCGACGCAGGCGGTGGTGGCGGCGCGGGTGGGGACGTAGGTGACACGGTTGACGTCCAGGCTGAAGTGCTGCCTCACGCCGTCCTGCGGTGAGCAGGGGTGTGCGGTTTGTGGCTGTGGAATTCAAGTTGGGGGGTCTGCGTTTTGTTTGCTTCATCAGACTCTTTGAGAAGGGGCTTGGAAGGCCAGAAAAAACAGTTTGAGGGCAGCCGCAGCGGCGCCGGAGGGCTGGGCAGGCGCACGGCTGGGGTGGGGCGCCTCAGCGCTTGGGGCCGCTCGATGAAGGCGGAGGGATGAGCAGGCAAGGCGGGCCGCGTCAGTACGGGCGAGCCTCACCGCGGTGTAGGCGGTGCTCGATAGTTCGGCGGGACTGGAAGAGAGGGAGACGTCGGCGTTCGTGACGCGGCACGCGGCGGCCGGGCGCGCCACCGCGACGAGCGCAGCGAGGAGGAGCGCGGCGGCGGCGGCCGCGGGCAGGCGAGTGGGGCGCGTTGCGGGGGCCATTGGAGGTGATGTAGCGGTGTCTGGTGTGTGCTTCTGAGGTGGGTGCAGGGGGAGGAGCGCAGGGGAGGGTGCAGGCAACTCAGCTTGCGGGGCTGTTCAAATGCGAATCACGCCGCGCGGCAAAGCGGGGGTCGCTCATGCAGCTGGTTTGCAGGTGCCAACCAAGTCCGCTGGTAGATGTATAGCGACACAAAATGGACACGCATGTGTGCCTTCAGCTGCTTGTGCAGCTGCATGTGCACAGGGGTCACTTGGGGCCATGTGCGTTGCTGCTGCTGACGGTGGTCACTGAGCAGAGTTACCATGCAACACACCCCTGTCGATCGTAAACATCTACAAGCCCTTGCTTTGAAGCACAGCTTCACCGCATCCACGCCCTAGACAGGGCGATACGGGCGCGCGCCCAGGCGGGCCAACTTTCGCGCCCAGGCGGGCCAACTTGCGCGGACACGCACCTTTGACGAGTGGTTCAAAGCGGACACTTATCGCGGCGCCTACGTGGTTACTATTTTTGCGCAAAATGACTTACGCCGGCTGTCCAACAGTAGCAGGCTGTGACTGTTGAAGGACGGCGCAACACAGCTGGGCAGCTAGCGATCGGTTCATCAATGGGAAAATGCTTAAATATAAGTATTCCGTATCAAGACCCACCGCCAAAGCTGTTCGGCAGGGGAGCACTCACAGTGACTGGAGAAATAAGGGTGACCCGGCCAGGTGGTCACCTAGCCACGAAATCACACCCGACGGATCGGAAGCCGTGGGCCCTGATATTGACGGTGCCGAGCGCACAGAGGCCGAAAACACTCCTAGTGTTCCTAGTGGTCACGCGCCATGGGCGGCCCTGTCCTAGCTGGAAGGATATTGCTGCTGCCGCCGGGGCCCTTGGACACATGCATGCCCCCTTTGCCGCAGCTGTCACTTGCCCGCCACCTAGTCACCTGGGGCCGGACCGCACTGGATGCTGGGCAGGCGCTACAAGCACAGAGCCTAGGGTCAAAAAAACCGAGGCCCGCGGCTGCTTTGAGCCCATCAGCCTGTTGCAGTGGGCGCCCTGCCGCTGCTCGCACCGAGCGACGCCATACAGCCAGGCCACCGCTCGCAGGCACAGCTGGTCGTGCGAACCTGCGCTTGCTGCGCCGCTCAACGTGCAGAAGGTGTGTCGCAGCACAGACAAGGCTCTTGGAGTCCGCCACTGCGCAGCCTCGGGGGGACTGCAAAAGCAGTGGTCCGGTACGCGCGTGCACTGCAACGCGCAGCGCCACGCTCTCGAACTGGTTGCCCTCGTGCAGCAGGGCTGCTTCGTGCGGCTGAGTGTTGCGCAGGCTGGCACCACACCTGGCACGCGGCCCGTTGCCACACGTTTGCACACCTGCTCCTTGCAGCAGCGCCGCACCTGATACTTATAAATGGATTCCCGAATACATCCAGGAACTGATGAGTGGGCAGTTGGTGCTTACTGCGAAGCAGCGGCGGCAGAAACGCAGATGGAGCAGCGCAGCATTTGAGGGTGTTTTGAAGGGCACCTGCTGCCACGCTACACCAAGGGTGCGAGCACCCTTCCTCTGCTCCCCGGTGAGTCCGGCACAAACATATGCCTGATGTTTACAGATTGACAGATAGGTCTGGTCAAGTGCGTTCACGGCGCAGCAAACAACGTAGCAAACAATGTAGACCGCCTGCACGCTCGTGTTGGGCAGGTCGTAGGGTGGCTGGATGCGGCGGCTCTCTGCATGGGAAGCATACATGCGCGCGCCTGACCAACCCTCATGCAGACGCCCGCACCCAAACCAAGGTCACTCAAGTCACAGTGCTGTTCGGCAAACCCTCAGGGCAGCGCGTAGCGGCAAGGCAAGCATTGGCACAAGAAGCGTAGCAGAGCAGGCCAGGCACATAAAGCGCGGCGAAGAAAGGTCGACAGAACGACCAACCCCTCACTCTCAAGAGCAAAGGAAGGAATACATGGGCTGATGAATGCCATCCAACCCGTGGGGGCACATGCAGGCAAGAACAGATAAACAGATTGTCAGGTATCACCCAGTTCGCAGTCGCGGTTGCGAGCAAGACAGCCGCATTGCACTCTCCTCGTACGCAGCAATACAGCAAACCCCAGAGAGAAGCCCCCGCAGCAAACAGATTGGGGAGAGATGCGCATGCAGCGGTCGCCGCGGCAGGTAATGCGCGGGTACAGCCACCAAACAGACATGTGCGCGGGTGTGCGTTGAAGCGCATTGGGGTGCTGGCGCATGATTGCCATGCTGACAGTGCTCTGTCATACCTCTCACATTTTCAGAAACATGCGCTCGGGTGCAGTGGGCAATGGGTCGCAGAGGCACACGCAATCAATAACTAGGGGCAACAGCCGGATGCGTGCATGCGTCCGGCCTGATGCTTGACCCTGCCCAAGCCCACTCGTGCGGCTTAGCGTGAGATGCTGGGCAGCTGTAAAGGACAACGCAGCAAGACTGTGTGGCGACAGTGGTCGCGTCGGGCTGGTCACCCTCCGCGAAAGAATCAAACAGTTCAAGTGGGCAAATGAAGTCGGGCTCGGCGGGCACCGAAGGGCGCCGCGCCGGTAAGCGGGGAAGACGGGCTGAGCTGCAGTGCGCGAGCAGTCGGAGAGGGAGCGGCTGTTGGTTGTGCAGCTTCCCCCGCAATGTGGGTGGAAGGTACACGCCTTGCAAAAACGGCATCTTCGCCTCGGATCAATTGGGGCCGCAATCCCTCGCCCGAAAGGTGACAGTGCCACCCAGCGGATGGCTGCAGTATTGTGGGCGCAGCTACAGGGGCCAGGGTAGCACAAGACGTGCAAGACAGCCGTGCCTGCAGGCAGAGCGCTTGCTCGCGCAGGAACTCATGAGCCGTTGCCGCCGCGGTGCAGTCTGGTACAACGTCGGCAGACGGGTACCGAGAGGAGGAGGGGTGCAGTTGGCTCATGTCGCCAGCTGATTAGCTGGCAGTGGTGAGGGCCACGTTGAAGACGTTGAGTTGGTTGACGGGCGACAGCAGCCGCAGCGTGGCGCCCAGGTGCCGCCCCTGCAGCGCCTTGACCCCCTCGTAGAAGGCGGTCGGGTCCAGCGGCGTGGGCGCGTTGCGGCGGGCATAGTTGACAAACCTGGGTTGTTTGCGGGGCGGGGCAGGGCAGCCAGAGCAGGACCCATCCATGAGTGGAGAGATGGACGGGCCAACAGAGTCGGCGCTTGCAAGGGGTGCATGTGCAGAGCGCCCGTGCGCATGCGTTTGCGGCACAGCCGTGTGCCCTGTTGCTGGCCAGTATGCTGCTTGGCTGGGTTCATGAGACCTCGCACCCCAGGATCCCTCTGCCCCTCTGCCACTCTGCCGACCTTCGACCGTAGCACACACACCTGTTGGTACTACGTACAGTCTACACACGGGAACGCACGCTTCCGCATGCACGTGTTTTGCCACCCGCCAAAACCACACAGCAGCTGAGAAATCAGTTTGAGACAGCATCTGCGCACCAGTTAGTCATGGTGGTCTTGCGGATAGTGTCAATCGCGTTTGCGTGGAACACAAACAGCTGGGAGGCGGCAGCGCTGCTGGTGATGGCAGGGGAGCGCGTGGGACAGGCACCTGCGAGAGGGGCGAGGCGAGGCGGCAGGGGGGCAGGGGGCATATGTAGTGGGAGTGTGTGGTGTGGGCGCCAGACAGCAGCTTGGTGGGCAGCTGTGCTTTGTGTTCGTCCGTTGGGGCCGGACCTAGGCATGTGGCTGTACAGCCGCACCCCAGCAGCCTGGGCACGACTCGTCCTGCCTTTTGCAAACCACTGGGGCCGGCAAAGGCGTAGTGTCAAGTAATAAATGGGGGGATCAAGGTTCAGACGGGTTTCGCGACACTGCAGCCGTTGCGGCACCGGGATCAGCCGGAGGGCGTACGCATCCTCCAAGTGCTGCTGCGTGTCGCGCTCACCCTGCGAGTCGACGATGGCCACAGCCTTGCCAACAAGGGGCCCCTGCAGGATGGCATAGTTGATGTTCCTTCGCTCGCGAGAGTTCAGGGCAGTGCCCCACCTGCACGCAAGCAAGGAAGGGTGTGTTCAATTGTGGGATCGGCACGCACGCTCCCGCAACGCCGTCAGCGGGCAGCGATGTGCGCTGAGTATGGTGGTTAGGGGCACGTGCCGGCGCGCGGCATGCGAGGTGACGCCGTCTTGGCAGCACGCACGTGTGACTGCCTCTGCCCCTGCCCATCACGCAGGGGGGAGGGGTTGAAGCTAGCTAGGGGTGCAAGCCACTGCCACGCGCCCCACCAGTAGCGGAAAAACGCCCTAACGACAGCCCTGGGCAGTTCCGAGGAGGTGAAGCCGTAATCGGCAAACTGCGTAGCGTGAAGGGGGCGAGCGTGGCAGCGATCAGGACTTGGTCAGGCTGTGGGCGGCATGGTCCCCATGCAAGGGATCCAGTTGAGCGGCGCCCCAGGGGGGGGGGGGGAGGGCAGTAGGCTTGCGAAGCCTGGCTGGCCGCGCTCGAGTGCATTAGCATGTGAGCTCCCAGGCATGGCTTTCCGCGGCGACGGGGCCACACTCCGCGCCCGTATGCCCGGCAGACGCTTGTCCGTGGACCTGGTCCCGTTCGCACGCTCCCGGCGTGCGACGAGGTCGGGGTTGACCCGGCCAGTCGAAATGATGCGGCAGAGTGCTGATGACTGGGTGCATGTAGCACACACATGTTAACTAGCCCTGCTCGCCCGGGAAGCCTACAGCCGCAAGCCCCAGACCCTGATCTTCTCACGTTGTCAATCATGAGACGCAGGTGGCCACAGCCTGGGGTTGCAAGTTGCAGATTTGAAGATACCGAGGTTCAGGCGGCGCGGACGGCATGGCTGCCTGCTGCTGCTAGTTAGCCGTGTGTTGACACTCATGCAAGCAGTGTCTTGACTCACATGCAAGCAGGCACAATGAATCGGATCAGGCATCGTTGGCCCCCTGCCACACAAGAGTCGCAGCGGCAGCCCTGCCGGTCCAGGGGAAAGCGGCCGCGGCGGTGAGCTCGACGCCCAGCAGGGCTGCGATATTCGTTCATGGTGTCAGTCAAGATGGGGGGTTGCACTCACCCTGGTTGAAGCCCTTGGACAGGCTGGTGTACCACACATCCCTCTCTGCCGGGTTGATGGGCTCCCTGACATTCGGATGCAGTGTGGGCAGAGATGGTGGGCGAGGATAACTTTGGTGTGTGAACACCAAGCAGTGGGCCAGGCAGCCGCGAGATGCGGGCCGCCAGCACCAGGACATGCCTCCTCAAAGCTTGACACACACGCACACACATCCACACACACAAACTTACTGGTCAGGGAATGCAACGGGTGACCCAAAGGCGGCTGCCTTGATCTCTGAGAAGACCTTGAGCAGCTTCTCATCACTGGTGTGGTAGTAAAACTTCTTCCTGGCACTGAACAGGCCCCTGATGTAGTCAGCAAGCACCTGGTCAGCCAATGCCTGGGGGTTTTATGGTGGGGGAGAGGCAGGATTCAGGCCAACCGTGACGCTCAAGATGTGGGATGGGAGGGGGGTGAAGTTTGAGTTGTAGTTGCAGGTTGTTGCAGACTCTGGAGCCACACACGCCTCTCAGAATGGAGTTGACCCGATCAGCAAAACACTGGATTTGCAGACAAGATGGGGCGGCACCCAACAGGTGGGAGGCTGAGGGCTGCTGAAGAGCACAGCATATCGCAGGGAGGAGGGAAAGAGCGCACAGCGGCCGCCGCCAGGCAAGGGTGAGCGCAGGCGGCAGTCCATGGGACTGCGCAGCGGCCGGGTTGGGGGAGAGGGCCCGGGAGGCCGGGACTGTTGGAGACAGGGGGGCAGGGCGGTCCATTCTCTGTCTCCTCCGATCTGCCCGTGCGTGCCAGAAAAGGCCCAACACCCCCCCGTCCCCGCTCCTTAATACACATGGAGACTGAAGAGTTGGCCCTGCGTGCGGCCGTGTTGCGCACGGCCCGGATGCGCCAAGCGGCTGCAGCAGCCCGGGGGTCGGTGGAGCCGTTCATAATCCTGGCCCTTGTCCGCGCGCGGTTCGGCCCAACCCAGGGCGCCCCATACTCCAACAAGCATGTGGGAGGCACTGCGGCCGGTCAAGTGAGGCGCCTCCGCGCCTCAATTTTGAAAGGGCGGCAGGCCGCGCATCAGCAGCCTGCGCCGCCCGGTCCAGCGAGTTGCTGGGACACGCAGTGCACCCAAGGACGCGCACCTGGCTGAGGGTCTGGCCAGTCTGGTTCAGGTACACAGTCAAGCCGACAATGAACTCGCACATGTCGCCACCGGGGGTGCCGATGACGGGGTACTCGTGGCGCGAGTCAACGCAGGCGGTGGTAGCGGCGCGGGTGTTGACGTAGGTCACGCGGTTGACATCCAGGTTGAAGTGCTGCCTCACGCCGTCCTGCAGGTCGGGTTTTCGAGTTTGTTGTGTGGCGGTGGTTCAAGTTTGAAGGATCTCACATAGAGCATCTAGAAGGTTGTGGTGGGGGGGCTTCAGCCTAAGGCCACTAACTGTCATTGATGAAGAGGGGGGGGAGAGATTTTCCACGAGAGGGGGGGTGCGGGCCGGACGCGGTATGTCCCAGGCGGGCGGTCGTGGTCGTGGGCCCACGCACAGGCCAACAGACGGATGGGTGCCGGGCGGATGGGGGCGGCGTGGTGCGATTGAGCGCGGCAGTCCGTCCGCTCGCGCGCGGCATGTGGCTTAGAGGCAGCACGTGTCTGCACTGGGCAACCTCATTGCTGAGGAAGCGCTCACAGTGTTGTAGGCGTCCTTAGTCGCGTTGGAGGCGCTGGCCGCGAGTGAGACATCCACGTTGACAACGCGGCACGCGGCGGCCGGGCGGGCGGCCGCGATGAGCGCCACCAGGAGCAGTACGGCGGCGGTGGCGGCCGCGGGCAGGCGGGCGGGGCGTGTTGTGGGGGCCATTGGACAGCGCGCAGGCGGCAGCTGCTGTGGCGGCCTGCGGCGGGGATGGTGATGTCGGATGATGGAGCGCGAGAATTGGGATTGACTGGGCAGGGGTGGGCCTCACGTTGGAGGTGAGCAGCGCGGGGTGTGCTTGCCAAGAGACGCCTGCGAAGGCGGGGGGGCTAGGTGTCTGTGCCACTGTTTCGCCGCCGGAGGCCAATCCAGTGTTGAGCTGCTGGATCTGCTCATATTCTTACGACCAAATGCAAATGAGCGCGCACAAGGAGTCTGGCATTCGGGCGCATCTGTGCTGCTGGCAATGACTTGTACTGTGCTGGGGTGTGCACATGCCGCACCTGGTGCACTACAACCCTCCCATGTCCGATCAATCCCCTGCACAAAGGATGGCATTACAGCCCCAGCAATCGATCGCGTCTCACTTGTATGTACCGTAGTTGGCTTCAATGGCGTGCGGCTATTGAGTCAACAGCGACAACGGCCACCACGACGCGCCAAAGGATTGTGGAATGCTAGATACTAGAAAGAACCGCACGAGTCTTATGTGCAGGCTGGAACCCTCACACTCACCAAACGTGGCAGGCGCACGCACGGGGGCTCGAGGAGTGACGCAGGCGCTGCAGGGGTCATGGAGGGAACCAATCACCCCCCACCGATCGGGGCCCGCGGGCCCGCGATTGGCAAAGATGGACAAGCTCAAGCACCATTAATCAACATTCAACACTTTACGATAGCCCGCAGGCAGCAGCGCCCTGGCAGCGCGCCGCCGCCGCTGCCGCCACGTATGCAGCCGAGGGCCACCGGCTCGGCCACATGCCACGGCGGCACTGTCCACGCACGGGGAGTCACCCATGTTGTCGCGTTGGGATGCCCGCAGACAGCCAAGCAGACGGCCCTGCCACTAAATCCAATTTGGAGCTGCCCTTCGTCGCCCTGTTTTTGCCATAAGACTAAAACAGAGGGCAGTCGCTGCTCGCGCCACGCCCGCCGGCAAGCTGGAGCGCGTGGGTCGGTGGGTGGTCGCCGGGTGGGTTGGCAGGTGGGTGGGCGGAGCCATGTGATTCGCAGCGCCGGCCGCCAGGCATGAGGGGTGGGCCACAAAAGATCTGGGCGCCTGCTGACTCTCAGCCGGGTAAGGCTGCCGCGCCTTCCCTCAAAATGCTCTGCTCCAACCGCCTCCGGCTGCATAACTCCACGACCCGCTCCCTCTCCCCAGCCCGCTGCGGCGTCGCCGTCAGCCGCGGATTCTGCATCGAATCCGTATCGTCACAGCGCCGGCACTGCCGCGACTCTGCGGCTCATGCAGGGGCCCCTCGAGCAGTTCTTTGCTTCGTGTGCGTGCTGCGGCTCAGCCGCCCCGACGGCGCCGGGCCGCGCCGCCCCGCATAGGCAGCAGCTAGTCCTGGCACAGCCTGTGATGTCCCTATCCCGTAGCTTCCAGCGTGCCTTCCCTATTTAAGCCCCCCGGTGGCCCCCAGCAGCAGTGCCGTCCCCAGCCTGGCCGCATTTCAGGGTCTAATTTTGACAGGATCGTGTCAAGTTACAGAGCCACGGCCGCGGCGAGGCAGCGGCACGCGCCGCGCACCAGGCGCCCAGCGCGAGCCCTGCAGGCTTGAAGAAAAGACCAGTTGAGAGACGGGGCGGGGCGACGTATGCTCGTGTCCCGGAGATCTCCGGTGACAAAACCGGAGCGGCAAGCTCGGATGTGAAATCACTTGGCCTCGGGGATAAGAACGCCGTAGCCGCCGGCGGACCGCTTGTAGACCACGTTGACTTCGCCAGACTGCGAGATTTGAGATTCGAAATCATCGGAAGTCTTAGAGGCGGTCGTCAGCGGCACCATAGGCAGGTTGTTGCGCCGGCTGGGTGCGGCGGACGCGAGCGCGGCGGCGCGCTCATGGGGGAGCACGCGCGGCCCGGCTGGGTTGCTGCGGTGGCGCGATGCTTGACAACTAGCAAGGCACGCGGGGGCGGTGGCAAACAGGGCGGCCCAGGCCAGGACGCCGCGCGTCTGGGCCATTGGTTGATCGCCCCTACCCTCGGAGCGGCCCGGCCTCGCACTCGCCTCTGAATCGCGGAACAAAAAGAACGCGTGGCCTGCGGGTGTACATGAAAGTGGGAGGCCGGGTGACAGGGGGTGGAGGGGGTGCAGTTGGAGGGCAGGGCCTGCGGCGGCGGCGGATGGGCAGGGCCAAGGGGCAGGAGGGCAGCCGCGCGCGGGCGCGCCCCAACGGGGGCGTGTTCCCCGACACTCTGGGCCGCGCTGCGCGACCCGGCCCTTCCGCGCCCGGCCGGCCCCGCTGAACCCCTCTCGGTCGCGCGGGCCAGCATCCAAATGGGCGGCATGCATGGCACAACCAGTGACCACGCACCCACTGCCTCCATTGCATCGATGGCGTCGTCCACGGGCATGCGGTCCACGCGCAGCACCTGGCGATGAGTGGAGTTTCACCACAGTGACCGGTCAAACGGGCAGGCAGGTTCACGTTCTGTGCGGCGCTTGCGTCGGCCTCATTGACAAGGCTTTGTGTGGGGTTGTCCTGTTGGATGGAGGGTGGGCAGCTGCGGCAGACGAGCGTGTCGGCTCCGATTTGAAGCACGGTCGGCTGACCCGAGCTACCGCGCAGCTGATCACCTAAGCGCACCAAAACATTCCCCCACACCACGCACCTTGCTGCGCAGGATCGTGTCTGGGATGCCGCTGGGGGAGGCGGCAGCGCCCAGGTGCGCCAGCTCAGCCGCCCGCGCCTGGTCCTCGTCAAAGGCCTGTGCGCACGCGCGCGCACGCGTGTGTGTGTGTATGTGTGTGTGTGTGTGTGTGTGAGATCCTTGCGCACCGGTCGCAGCACCGACGACGTGTTTCTGACACGCCGGGGTGAAGTGGCGGACTACGCCCCTCTCCCAAATCTTGGCTCGCCGTGGCCCCTTTTTCCTTCTACATGTGGTGGTCGTGGTTGCTTGCAGGTCCGGCTGTGTTGTCACCCATGACTCAGCCCAGTCCCCAGAGCCAATTCGAGTCCGCCGTCACCGCCCTGACCTTGGTCTCCACGATGACGGTGTCCATCCACTCCTGGGAGGATGAGTCATGCCGGGGTGGGCAAGAGTTAGGGCGGCGCATGTATGCGTTTGCGCGTGCGCGCGTGGCGTGTGTGTGTGTGTGTGCCAGAGGGTGGAGGGGAGTTGCAGTGGACAAGCGGGCTGGTATGAGGGCAAGACCAAGACATCAACAGGCGGGTGCTTGCTCAGTGCACTGCGGGGCGGGGGCGGCGGCTGCGACAACAGACACCCACCCCCCCACACACACACCCACACACACACACGCACACGCATGCTCACGTGAATTGCACAAGCACACGTGGACATATGCACGCGCAAGCACACACACGCACACACACACACACGTACACACCCGCCACAAGCTCACCCCCCCCAAGAAACCCACCCACCCGGAACTCCTGGTCTTCGCTGTTCTCCCGCGGCCCCGCCCGCCCCGGCCACGTGCCCTTCTTAATGGCCAGCTCCTTCATCCGCGTCAGCTTCCGCGCCACCTGGCAGTGCGTGGCGGCACCGCCGGCAAACCCCGTCGGGCCGCACGCTCATACCACGATCGCAGGCCCCTCATGCTCTAAGGGGGATGAGCAGTTACACCACCGCGCGGCCCCGCAGCTCCGCCAGGCTTTGCGCGCTCATGCCAAAACAACAACCGCCCTTTGTACCCCCAAAACTTCGAGCGTTCCGTTCGCCTGCTCACCCAATCTCACGAAATAGGGTCGTGCGCCCAGGGACCCACCTTGTCGGCCACCGTGTCGATCGACGCGTAGAGGGACGCCTCCGCGTCTTCCACCCGCACCACGCCCGCGCGCACTGTGTAGATGGTCACATCCACTTTCTGCTGCCTGGGCAGGTTTCAGCGGGGGGTTTGGAGGGGAGTGTTGGAGCGGAAAATGGGGTTCAGCGGGGGTTCGGGGGGTTGAATGGGGTTTTGTGGGGTTCAGCGGGGCTTTCGTGGGGTTCAGCGGGGGTTTCTGTGGGGTGCAGCAGAGGTTTTGTAGGGTTCGGCGGGGATGTGCTGGGGCTTTTTAAAGAAGCTTCATAGGAGGTTGCTGTCAAGGTGCAGACCCGTTGATGTGATGAGGCATGCTGTTGGGGGTTTGCGTGAACGGCTGTGCGCGCATGGATTTGAGTGGCGGCACCACAATAAGTCCCAGCTTGGAGCTTCACACTCGCACTCATCTTCTGCAGCCTGGGCTGTGTGTTTTGATCATGTGTGTGGGTGTGCGCGTGCGTGCGTGTGGAGGGCAGCGTTGGCTGTTTGCCTTCTTGAAGAACACATCTAAGCCAACGCCGCCATCGGCCCCAACCCTCTACTGTAGCGACGCGCCCGCCACACCCCCGCGGCCGGCCGCAGCCCCTCAGCCCCTTATCACCCCCACACCTGGCGCCGTGCGTGCCGGTGTCGCCGCCGCGGGCAGAGAGAGTGACATCAATGTGCTTAATGCCAGCTGAGTAGTTGTGGACCGCACGGCTGATCTTCTCTTCCACATACGTTTTGATGGCTGGGGTCACCTGGGTTCCGGTTTGGGTTGCCATGCGGGAGGGTGTAAGGCGACGTGTTTGCTTGCGCCGATGCGCAGGCAAGCGCTTGATGTGTTATTGCGCCCCCGGCGGCGCGTGGCGCAGGCTCGGGTGGGTCGCAGGTGCGCGAGCGGATGGGGTTCAGGATGCGGGAAGTGCGCGGCGGGGCCCCAAGAGAATGCAAACGCACTCATCACACATGCACACTCTCACTCTCTCATATGTGCACACACACAGACACACAAACACAGACACGCACACACACACACACACAGCACAGATCACAGAGTACGCGTGTTCACCTCCAGCCGCCGCCCCTGTATGATGACTTTGACCGGCGCCGCTGTCTGCAGTCAGTGGTGCGGGGGAGGCGGGCGGCGTGGGAGGGAGGGAGATGATAGGGCGGCAAAGGGCACAGCACCTGGGCATGAAAGCGGGCCCATCAAAGCCGTGGGTTGGTGGTTGACAGCTGGCGCCCCGCCGCGCCCTCGGGAGACGGGGAAGACGTCCCAAAGCGAGGGGCCCTTCACGTCATGCCATGCATGCTGGCGGGCACGCGGCCATCGAGCCGAGAGGGGTGGCAGGGGCGTCCGCGCGGCCCGATCAAGGGAGCGCGATGACGCGGCCCGGCAGGATTACCTTTGCAGCTGCCACGACGCCCGTGCTGAGCGCGCGGCCGCGAGGGGACAGCGCAACAGGCCCGGCCAGCCGCGCGACTGGGCGCGTGCGCGCCGCGCGCGTGCTGCTGTAGGGCGCCCGGATGCTCGAGGATATGAGGGCCATTGTGACGTCTGGTGAGATAATCGCGCCTGCGAAGGTGTTTGAAGCGGGTTGGCACGCTCCGCCACCGAGATCACTGCACGATCGGTACGACCAGGACTGAGGGCTCTCGATGTGATGCAAAGAGCTCGCCATCATCTTGTACACTACCTACAGGTGCTTGCACCCGCCTCCGGAACGGGTCTGATCTGAACTTGGCAAGTACACTGGCCTTTTTAGAGCTGTGAGTGATGTTATAAACGTAAATGCATGTCGCGACTACATCGCAGCGTCAATGGGCGCTGGCTGATGTGGCAACTTACTTGCGCGCAGCAGCTGCTCAAAAATGCTGACTGGGTTCATCACCGTCTCTGAGGAACACAAGCAACTTACTTGACTTGTAGCATCCTTGTTTGTCTCGAGAAGCGTGCCTGCCCGAATCTTTTACGGTTTCAAGTTTCGACCGTGGCTGGGTGGAATATCGCGGCGTCCTCGATTTTGGACGGCGAATCTGCAACCGGTTGTGGCTCTTTCTCTCTGTGTTGCTATCAGCTACAAGCCCAGCGGCGGCGACACTGAGCGCGCCGCTGCGCTCACCAGGCGTGGCGCGCCCAGCCGAGCCCCACTCCGCCCAGCCAATTCCGTGTTGACGCACCACATGCGGCCGCGCCGCGGCTCGCATGGCCAATCCTTTCGCCGCCCTGTCCCTGACGGACGAGCGGGACCCCCGGGCCCTGGCGGCGCAGCAGTCAAAGCGCGCGCAGCGGCGCTTGGCGCGCCAGGCCTCTAACAGCACCTCCCCCCCGCGGCGACCGCCGCCGCTGTCTCAGCAGCAGCAGCAGCAGCAGCAGCAGCAGCAGCAGCAGCAGCAGCAGCAGCAGCTATGGGCAGCCCCCAAACACGCCGCAGACCCACCGCCGCCGCCGGTGTCGTTCGACGCTGCTGCAGCGGCGGCTTCGGCACAGGAGGGTGGCGGCAGGTGGAGCGACGACGGCGGCTGCGAGTGGTGGGGAAGCCCCACCCAGGACATGGAACGACGGAGCAGCGCCGCCGCCGCTGCCACTGCCGCCGCCGCCGCGCACGCAGGTGGGGATTCCGATTGGATCTTCGGCGCGCCCCCGGCCGCAGCGACGCCACCCAGAGGCGGCACCCAGCAGCGGCAGCAGCAGCGGGAGCAGCAGCAGGCGGCCGCGCGCCGCTCCCCGCCCTCCCCGCTTTCCCCTGGCGGCTGGGGCGGGTGGGACGCCGACCACGTGGCAGCCGGAATGGCGGCCCTGGATTTAGACTACGGACCCCGACCGGGCAGCAGCGGCAGCGGCGGCGGCGGCGGCGGCGGCGGCGGCGTGCTGCTGGGTGAAGACTTGGTGAGGCAGCAGGCGGAGCTGTGGGCGCAGCTGCAGCGCCAGGCGCACGAGGCGTCGGCGCGCGCCGCGGCGCCGCCGTCGCCGGCCGCGGCTGCCGGGCCGGCCAGCGGTTGGGGGTGGCCCGAGCTGGACGGCGGTGAAGGGGATGAGAAGAGCGACTACGAGATCGCCAAACTTTTACAGAAAGAGGAGGATGAGCTCGCAGCCGCAGCAGAGGCGGCGGCGGCCTCAGCCGCCGCCGCCGCCGCCGCCGGCGGGGCGGCTGCGGCCGCTTGGGGCCGCGCCGGCGCGCCC